GGCAGGCTTTCACCAACTGGCGTCATTTCGCCTCTCCGATTCCAGCGAGGAATAAGTTTGTTTTTATTTTTTATATATCGTTTGTGCTTTGAAGTTTGTTTAGCGGTTAGATTTGTTTTCTGGGGTAGGGTTGCTAGCCCTATGCCTAACCTTCCCTCTTTACCCGGGCTTAGGAGGGGCTAGTAACTAGTGAACTAGTTAACCAGGTGAGGTTATTCTAAGTTTCTATGTTGTGCTAATCTAAGTGATGCCGATCGACTAGTTTGACCTATGTACTTGACCTGACTCACAGTCATTACATGGAATTTGATTGATTAGATTATTTTGCTTAATCGCTTCTATCGGATCCCTAAGCCAGCCGAGAAAGATTAAATCTAACTGATTTTGCGGGTTTAAATATCGCCCTTATTCTAGCTTTGTTGAGAATCCTACGTAAAGTTTCTAATATACCTTGCTTATAAGGGGACACAATGCAGGCTGTAAATCCCTTTCTACTCATGTTGTCGCCATTATTTGTATTCGTATTACCGTTATTATTTCGTTTCTTGTGCGTTCCTACGAATTTCTTGATAAACTGTGGAGGATAATTATTCACGGTTAGTGCTTCTTTTACGTGTTTCAATTCCTTGTTTAGGTCATTGCACTGACTAGTTTTTTGACTAAATCTGCCTTAACTGATGTTGGATTGAAGTCTAGATACCTGTTGGAATATGCCAGTTTTCTGTAGACGGCAGTATCGAAACCACTGTGTGTCCTTCGTTTTATCTTGCAATCCAACATAGGCAATTCTCTTTGTTCATTTTCTACCTTGTTAATGAACTGGATTGGGCCTTCTACTGAGTTGACATATGTGAAGAAATCGTCGATTCGTTCCAATTTCAACACAGTAAATATGTCATTTACATAACGCCACTATATGAGAAAGAGATTGGTGACTGAATCTTTGTTCACCAAATCAATACCCAACCCAACACATGTAACAGGAATGACGCAACACCTATACCAGACATATGGAAAATTTTATTACCAATAGAAACAAAGAATATGACGTGGGCGACAGGACTATAAGAAGCAGATGTCGAAAGTAGTGTGGTTACATTGATATGATTGTGATCACTGATAATTCATGCTCAAAACTTCGTCATCAAGTAAATAATACTGTATCAGTGTGTGTGTGTGTGTGTGTGTGTGTTATAAATCAAATAAACAAATCTAATATAGAATCTCTCCCTCCACCTAGGTGTTTCTGTTGGAGTTTAGAATTGTCACCCTAATCCATCCATTGTAGGGTGTGATTGTGGGTCAGTACATGTAGGGCGATACCCGAGCTTTTCTTCTGATTACTTATCTTAGTGGGGTATATAATTCTGTCTTGCTAAACTTCTGTACTCCCCTATTCTGAAGGACTCTTACCGGCTGTTTTAACGAATATACTTTACCTCCCAATCATTACATGCTATTTGGTAGATTAGATTATTGTGGTTAATTGGCACTACTAAATCTTTTGACTTAAAAAGTTTCTCTTTGAGCAAGTTTGTGGGTTTAAATGCCACCACAGTCGCAGCAATGTAAGCAGTTCTACGCAAGATCTCTTATCTGCCTTTTTTATATAGCAACACCGTAGAGGATTTGAATTCCCTTTTAGGCATGATGCAGTCACCATCAACATTACCACTCCTAATCTTATCACTCCTCACAAACGTTTTAATAAATTCTGGTCGGTAGTTGTTAAGTAGTAATGCCCTTTTAATATATCTCATTTCCTCATTTAGGTTCTCTTATTTACTAGTCAAACGTCATACAGCAAAAATATTCTACATCACTGTGTGCTATACCAAATGTACAACTTAATATGGGAGGTGTCCGGGATGCGCATATCGTCCTATTTGGGACTCGTCAGCTGGATGTACCTGCCTCCGAGTGAGTGTTGTTACCACCGGGATCCGGACTTGGGAGCGACCGCTCCAAATGCCAGAGCCTCATCCACTACACCACCGAGCCACGATAGCCACTTCTTGTGCGACGGGTATAGTTTTAGTGTTATAGCTTGTATGACACCGTCGTTGATTGGACCGAATTGATCAGTCTCTGTTGGCATATGGGCTCCTGTGCGGATGCCTCGATATTGCCTGTGTTTTAATTATAAATAGTAATGATGGGGATAACGCTCTGGTGTTTGATGCGACCGCTCCTGAGTCAGAGTCCCGGTGTGAACAACACTCACTGGGAGGCAGGTACATCCAGCTGACGAGTCCCAAATAGGACGAAATGCGCATCCTGGGTTCCACTCTAGCCACTGCCCGTCACTGCTATACATAATTAGAATACAGGTAATATCGAGGCATCCATACAGGAGCCCATATGCCAACAGAGACTGATCAATTCAGTCCAATCAACGACTGTGTCATACAAGCAATAACACTAATATGGAAGGTGCCTATAACTTCACCTTAGTGTTCTAGTTGGAACTATGCCCCTAATGAACCATCAATTCTTTCAATAACGACAACTCTAACCTAGAAGTCATCTACACCGCCCTACTTAAGTCAAACAAACAGTCACAATTCCATAGATTATTGTAATATTTTCATTTCAGAAACACCAGATTCCTTCTAATCCATTCTTATTTTAGGCAGTATTACTCATCAAGGTAGACGTTGGCTTACAATGTATAAACATGGATTATAGTTTTTTCCAAACAGGTAAAGGTTTACAACCTTATCTAATGAATTGCCTTTTTCACTTGGTACTTTCTGCCTAATCTCAACAATCAATTGATTGTATGAGAAGTGATGATACTACGCAGCTGTCACTACCTCGATAGGCAGAGTAGGATATGAACCCGTAAGCCGTTGGTTGGAAGTCAAATGTGTAGACCAATGAGATAAATCTACAGACCAGCCTCAGTAAGATGATCATCATCACTTTTAATATGACTTTATATAAAAAGAAAGTCGTAGATTATAATTAGCAAGAAAGGATCAGTCTGCAGTGTTTACACTGGAAGCAGTGACCACCTTGTCAACGAAAGGCCGATTGTTAAGCAGTATCAGATAACAGCGTTAAGTATCGATCAATATCCTTCATTAAGTTACACTTCTAGCTGGAATTATGTCTAAACATGGTTATTTGTGAAAATATTACGTTTGAAGTTCTTTAAGTGAAAAGAAAAATTGATTATTGTTTGATACTTCGAATTGCCGTTTGCTATACTGGGTCGAATTCCTCAACCTCTGTTGGGAAACGGGCTACTTACTGTATGGATGTTGTTGTTATACTTTCGGAATTAAAAATACAACTCATTCTCGTTGCAAAATAGATGGCTGTCGTCCCTCACTGACCTAGTGGGTTGTGCTTTGGCGTTCGAAGCGATGGGTACTGAACTTGAGTCTCAGTGCAAGCAATATCATTCATTGAAGTGCAGTTACATTCAGCTGAAGATTCGGGAATAGGACGAAAAGCACGTCCTGGATTTCACTGCCTGCTACCTAGCATATAACAAAAGGTGATTATGTATGAAGATTTTGCATCTTTCAAGCTTCTAATTTTATTTTTTAAATCTGGTTATTAGGGAATCTTTCAAACAGTCATTCATTCATTTACCTCTCGATTCAAGAACAAATAAATTTAGCCGCAGTAAAAGTGCATTAAAAACAAATTGGTTACAATAGAAACTCATGAAATTTAGCCATGTGAGCATCAAGCTTTAAAAACTTCCCACTTATTTGCTTGAAAACAGATAAGGATCTAAATATTTGATAGAGCCATTATAGCCAACTTATTGTGGAAGCCGTTGGTTGGCGACTAGCATTGGAAACCAGAATGAGCGTTTCGTCCTACTTAGGGCTCATCAGCTGGATACACCTGCCTCTCATTGAGCGATGTTGTTCCCGCTGAGACTGGAACTAGGAGCCCACTGCTTCAAACATAAAAGTGTCATCCATTAGGATTTCGAGGCATACGAATCACCTCACCGGGAACTGCATCACTCACGCGGTTGCAGGTATCTCCAATCGACCAATCCCATATATGGGACGGAATGTGTGTCGTGAATTCCACCACTAGCAATCACTGAGCATCTGCACAGGAGCCGGTACGACATTTGGAAGTATGAATAAATGATATGATCGGTCTATTACAGGAACTAATTTTATTGGTAGGGACAGAGGTTCACTGATACTACTATTGACATTGTTTATAAGCCTAAGTTTTAGTAACTGAAAGTATGAAAACTATCCTAGGCATTAAAAGTCAGAAGTGAAACAACTTGCCTATCTATATGCATTTAAAATAAGTTACTATATATGCGCTTTACATTGCCTAATTAGTTATTTTGTTCAGGTGTATGCGTAATTAAAGTGCGATGTGGTAAATTGTATTTCAGAATACAATAGAAACTGTATTCAGTACGAATAATAGAACTTCAGTTTGGGATTTTATGGGGTAAAAGGTAGTATCCATCATGAACTGACATCACGTAGGGAACCATTAAAGATTTGGAGATACTGGACATCTGTTTCGCTCTAGTATGTGGTTCATCAATAGTGTGCACCCGCGAAACGGCCGGGGGTTGAACTCAGGATTTTCATATATCGCAGTGAGTGTGTTGTTGTTCAATCACAGAGTCAGTTTCCTATGGTTCATATTTTCCAACTTCTGTCAATTCGTGGTATAATGCGACCATCATCCTATGTCATCAGCGAGTATTTCTCCCGACGTTCATATTAGTTGACACTACACCTTATGGCTTGTCATCAGCTGAATGTTAGCCTATCTTAAAATCAGTCATATTCGATTTATAATTCGCTGTGATAATGACTAGAAGTTTTAAAAATTTTCTTTGAAAAGCTTTCATAAAGCGTAAGACTCAAAAAAATTTTCAGTCGATATCCATTCACTGATGTGAGTGTTTATATTCTTTTTTGTAGTAGAATACATTACCGATTTGTGACAGTCTATAGTATGATAAAGTTAAACTGTCAAATTCTATCTGTAATTAGGCATCAGGAGAACAGACAGAAGACAAGAAATTGACCGATATGAATAACTTGAAATCTAACAAGACTGAAAATAGTGTAATGTCAGACATTCTGTAAGTACGTATAGATCTTTTCTCCTTGTTTGGTTTGTGCATTGAGATTAACATTGTTACATGACTTTTGTAAAATGCAAATAAAAAACCTTTTCCCTGATCTATTTCAATCAGGAAATATAGCAGATTGAGTCTTTGAAATCTTGATACAGAGCGGTTGAATAAAGTGAACTGGTTAATTAAATCAAAACATGAAGATAGAAACTGAATTGTTGATTTGACATATTGAATAGATTGTTGATGTGATTACGATATGTCATACGGTAAGTTATACATGCATTCACGTTTCCTTCGTTGATCTTGACGGTTAAATAGTCAACAATTAAAACTTTCATTTAGCGAATGTTCAGGTTGAGTAGGCTTGACTGTATACTACTGACTGTACAATCAGCAAACGATAACAATTGATGATATGACTTAATAGATTAATGGTACAACTAAGGAATTTTGCCGCCTTAAAATGACCCTTAAATGACCTTCAAAATGATAGTCAGTGGCGATTGGACTAATCGTTGTATTTGGCAAACAGGAGATCTGAAGTACTCTATGATTCATATTTTGAAGTAAAACAAATGGAGAAATTACTCAGTTTTTTAAGAGTTTATGTTTAAGATATAAATCCGTTCTTAATAGTTTAAGAATTACAGTGTAAAATACTCATCTCTGTTTATAAAATCAAAGTTTAGTAGGTATTACGATTCATTATTCGCATTTTAAAGTGTTGAAGTATGCAATGAACTCTTAGGAAAGAAATCGATAAGTGAGTTAGTCTTTGTTCTTTAGCCCCCTCACTGAATTTTACTTTCCTTTTATTCAAATGCTGACATTTAGTAGTTAGAATCAGAGTTAGGATGTGACCTGTCACAATATGATGTTTTACAATTTTACCTGAGATACTTCTGATAAAGCACGAATAATGGTTCATGATCACTAAAGGGTTCATTTAATTACGACGGCATACTTTGGTCCCTCGGGGTTCCCATTCTCATCCTGTTTTACAAGATTATATCTCGTGTTATTCTTTATGGCTTCGGTAAAACAAGAAGTGACTACTCTGTATTGTAACCACAAATCATCATTACAGTCTTCATTCGATATGTATCACATATATGTATATCTTCATAGCGAAGTGATTCCGTGTTTTAATGAATCTCACACACCCTTGTATAGCTCACTGAACACAGGTCGAAACAAGGATCGGTGACCTTTTTTCTGACTACGCTTGTTAATTCCTAGCATGTAACTTCATATATATATATATATATATATATATATATATATATATATATATATACATATGGATTGTGTTGTCATAAGCCACTGACAAATTGCATGTATCTGAATAAAGCAAGAATAAAGATATTTATGGAATAAATGAGCTCACTGTATTTCGTTGCCTTTCATCATCAGCAAACAACCCAGGATTGAAATGGATTGTTAATAGGTTAATTATGTACACTAAAAGCCAGAAAAATACTTGAGCTGAGTGACTAACCATTGGTAAGTAATTAATGATGAGATGGTGCATTCAAAAACACCATATACATGGAAACGCAGAACTATATACAGTAACCAGGCTAAAGACGGTTAATTACAGTCTTTTTCTGAGTACAGTGGTCAGGTTGGAAGTGTTTGATGGTCGAAGCTTTTGTAAGCCTCAATAAGCGTGAAGTTTGTTTATTTGTTAATTATCATGAAGGATTGACAAACACCTATTTGATGTCTTGTTCGTATCAGGTGCCTGGCGATTACGCTAGCAAAGACCTTGCTATCTTTCAGACTCAGATTTCTCGGAACGTGTTCATAAAATCGAGTAAATACCGTTCTTTCGGTTCTTCGGATGTACATACTTCCAAAAAACACATTTTAATTGATATACACGGTTGTATGCGGTCAAATAAGCCACTAAAGAAGGGGAAATACTGAACAAGTTTGGCTCTGAAGAACCATCAATTCTGGAGGAGGAAAAATATGATAATTAATGGCATTGAAGAGTAACATCGTGAGACAGGTACTTCTGTAAACTAACCTTGAAAAATAAGAAATGGCATACTACAGTGCAGTTCTTGAGGAATAGTCTACTTCGCTTTTCAGCTCCATTCTATTATGCTCATCTGGGTTACTTTTAAATTCATTCGGTAGGTATATTAATAGTAATGCGAATAGTAGTAGTAGTAGGTAATAAATGTTTTAGCTTATTCAGAAGTTGTAGACTTTTGAAAGCATAGATTTAAGCTGTCAAAATTATTTACAACATGTGTAGAGGTTTTAAATGGTGATACACTTAAGTTTTACTCACTGAATGTCTGCAGACGTGTAGAAAGTACTTATGAATTCAGGCTTTATACGTACTGAGACTTGCTTGTTAAGTATGAATGTCATTATCCTTCAGATATGTTGACGAATGTTATTCTATGCAGTAGCTAAGGTCATTGATGGCGATAGTTTCAAGTTTTGAACAGTTTTGCATTATAATAGTGTCAGTGACAACTATTTTTTACAAGACAAGTTCAATTCTCGCAGAGAAGTTGAGTTAGCTTAGACTTGCGGATATTTTCTTCTCTGTTAGCACAAAATGTAAATGAACGGCTTCTTGTAATCGTCACTCATAGTCTACATGGAACATAGTAGACAACCGTAGGATGTTGCTTTATTTAGCGAGTGTATTTCACTGCTTGATTAAAAGAACTTGACTAGTAATGACAGTCAGGGAACTGATTAAGGATACTGTTGGATGAAAGTAAGTGTAGCGACAATTCAACTGTCTAGTTTATGAGTATAATTATTTGTATTAAATTGAATGACGGTTGCAATTTTCACGTTTACTTTTTGTTAACTGCGCAGAATTTATTCTAGCTATTCTTTTATGGTATTTTCAACCTTAAAATAGTCATGAGTACTCGTCTGGGATAGTTGCACTGTGCTAATGTTCATATAATGGGATTTTCTGACTGACTTATAACACCGGTTGCGCGCGTGATTAACTTCTTGGTTGTATTGTTTCCAATCAAATGGGGTGTTGAATCGTGAAGCTTTAATCATCTTTCAACAGAAATTTCGAGAAAACTGAAACATCCGGTTCAGTCATTCAGAAATTTCATCAAATCAGCAACAGAAGTCTTAGAAAAGATCAAAAACATTTAAAAAAAGACGAATTAATGGTATCCTTCGATGTCACAGCATTATACACTTCTATCGAACCTCAATTGGCCAAGGAAACTATATCTCTTCTTCTCACTGAAGGCACAAGCCTTTCAGAACGCATAAAACTTACATATTTAAGTCTGATAGGACTCATCGTTTTTTTGTCTGGCAACATACTTCAAATTCAATGGCAAGATATACAAACAGGTGAAAAGAACTCCAATGGGATCAACGATATCCGGATTAATTGCAGAAGCAGTGATGCAGAGACTGGAAGTCATCATTATACCCGTGATTAAACCAAAATTTTGGATTCGCTATGTAGACGATACTTTTGTCATCATTAAAAAGGATGATATAAAAAAACGCTCACAGCTTGATCAACAACGTTTTCAATGACATCGAATTCACAGTGGAGACGGAGTCAAATAACCAACTACCATTCCTGGGTGTTTTATTCAGTAGGACAAATGCCGGAAATCTGGAAACCAAAGTATACTGGAAGCCAACACACACTGATCAAATCCTCAACTACAGTAGCAACAACATAACGCACAAAATTATTTGCATGCAGACCATATTCAGAAGAGCGAGAACACACTGCACTGCAGTACAACAACTTCACGGAGAAACGAAGAAAATTACTTGATGTCCATCCTAAAGAAGAACAGCTACCCACGAAACCTCATCAGAAGATGCCTATCCCGTACATCATCGACTAGAAAGTCATCCACAGAAATCAATAAACCCATCAACCTACCATGCATAAAGAATGTATCAGAAATCACAACAAGATTCCTGAGACCACTTGGAATTGGTGTGGCTCATAAACCAACGAATTCCCTGCAAACACTATTATGCAGACCAAAGGATGAGACAACCAAAGAAGACGAACCGAATATAATTTACAAAATCAACTGCAATAACTGTAGTCAACACTACATTGGACAAAGTGGTCGCCTTCTTCGCCTTCGTCAACATGAACACCAATTGCCCATTAAACATCACGACATTTCAATGCATGTGGATAACAACTATGGACATGAATTCAGTTTCGACAATGCAGAAATTTTGGACTGAGAGAGGAAACACAAAGAATATCGGAGAATTCTTAAAAGCGTAGCATTCAGGCCAGCCAGCAATCAGTTGATGTATAAACATAGACCCAATCTATCAACGAATGAGAAAAATGATAAACGACAGAAAGGTCAGAGGTGAAGCAGAGGAAAAAGCCATCGGGAAAATCTATGCAGTCAGTAAATGACACAACAATAAAAAGAGACAACCACTCGCAAACCAGTTCATCAGGATAAACTGCTAAATCACTGACGGAGGGATGTTGACAGCTCACTTCATACTGGAGTTAGTGCTGTTGATGTCGTCTAGCAGCAAGATGAAAGCTCCACGATTAAACAACTCAGTTAAGAGAACACAATACAACCAAGGCCACCTACTTCGTATATAGTTGCAATGTCGAGTATACCTAATTCAGTCATGGATAAGTCACAACCTGTATATAGTACAAGATAAAGGCTGATACTCACTACCTTTGTATAGTTGCTATTCGAGTCATGGATGTATGGGTCTAAGTTATGCGCCCCCTAATGTACCGTAATCCATTCAAAATTATGATGAATTTTGAAAAAAAGAGGAGTCAGTAAGCAGCTCGTGAGCTAATTCATACTTTTAAACAATAAAATAAGTTTGAAGGTATCCTAACCAACAATGGACTGGATGGTTTGAAAAAACTTGAGCATCGAGTTAGTATGATTCATTGTATAAGGTGTATTTTTACATATGTAATCCCGGCGTAGTATATTAGAATAAATAACAAAATAAACAGATATTTTGTATTA